TTATCCTCCTTCTTAAGTCTGTCACTTATCCTCCTACTTACTGTTCTTATACCACTGAATGGAATTTAATGAGACTATCACAAAATGCTTGTTAAATAGTGCCATTGTGACCTCTTATTTTACTTTTTGAACGGACAGAAATTTCGGGTTTCCCTAACAAAATATGGACACTGCTATTCTTTCTATTATATTGAAGGGTATACCCATCTCTTATCCACAACCCCCCGTATACCACTGAATGAAATTTAATTATACTTTCACAGATTCTTTATTACATGATACAATTTTGCTGTGCACCTCCTTTTTTTTTACATTTTGATCCGAGACTTATTTCGGGTTTCCCCTAGCAAAACATGGACACTGTCCTTTCTTTCTATAAAATTACAGAGTGCCCATCTCTTATCCGCAACTCCTCGTTTACCACTGAAAGAATTTAATATTTCACAGTTTTTATTACATAATGCCATTGTACACCTCCTATTTTACATTTTGATCTGACACTTATTTCGAGTCTCCCAGAGCAAAACAGGGACTTGCCATGATTATAATCATATGGGAATCGGGGGTATCATTTAGTGGGCTCGGTGCTCTAGTTTGTGACCCATTGATCTATCGATCTCCATCCATTTATAATTTTATATATTCATAGTTTCATACATATAATCTTTACATGTTTAATTTTATTAATTAAATATATAATATAATTTTGAGCTTTACGTTGCCTTACGAACTTCACCTATGAAATGTTACCTTGACAAAACTGAACTACAAAAATATGGAACTACATATAGTATAAATATTAATACATCTAAGAAAATTACAGAAATTAATTATGAATTTTTTTATACCACTCGCTTGAAGGTGTATAGTGATCGGGATATGTACGTCTAGCTGTACGTCCGTCCGTCGGTAAGTCTGTCACGCGTTGGGGTACATTCTTAAGGGGATGAAGACTTTGACACAATTTCTCTAGTTCACGGCATTAAAATTTTTGAAAAACGAAATGAAGACAATTTTTTGAGAAATCCTCTTTCCATGTATGAGATCTTGATAATTTTTAATGTTTGAACTAATCCAGTCAAATACTGGAGACATGAATGATCTCAATACACTTTTGTGACAGCTAGCGAGACAACTTTTAGGATGCAACCAAATGTACTAGTAACATCCTATTAAAACGGGAAGAGACATAATTACATGTATTTATTGCTTAAATGCATGTGTCATTTCGTAAATATTCATATTGTATTTTCTGAATTTAGGATAAATCTACAAGGGAATGCAAAAAAAGAAAGAGTTGTTACATTTTATAATAAACAAACAGATTCATTTAGATTATGAATTGTACTGCATATCTTTCCTTAGTAAAGATCAAAACTATTATACAACATAAATTTATTGATAAATGTTCATATTAACTGTTAAAATCAACCTAATACTTCCCTAGCCCCCCTATCTCTATGACCATATTATCGTATTTGAGGACGGTTGCCATTATCTATAGATAAACAAACACTAGTAGTCTAAACAATTGTAGACTATGGTTCAATATTATTAACGCGCTATATGTCCGTCACCCATTGACCAATACTGTCCACTGCATTTGTTATCTATGTAGTGTTATGATTTGATCTAGGACAAACAGAAATTCAAAATCTAGGTGACCGGGTTCTCTCATAAGGTATCATCAAACAGTTGATATAGATCTGGGTCCCACTGTTTCAATTTCAAAATTTTGACAAAGAGTACTAGTAAAATGAAATTTTGAGATTAGCACTATCTTTAACATTCATATCTTAACGAATTTTTAAAAAAAAAAACATTTCTTTGCATGCAATCATAATTTGCAAGCTTTGACAATCAGCTAGAAAGTTGGGTCTTTAATGCTTGTGAAATTGTTCTTTGCAAAAACAATCTCTTGTCTTTTTTATTGTGATACAAGTAATCAACATTCAAATTTGATAGCTAACAGTTCTATTCTTTTTTATATGCAATTCATTCAAACTTAAGATAGGAAACTGTAAATTATTGATAAAATCGGCTGTTAAAGTGTTAGTAACATAAGAGCGGAAACATATCAGAGATACTTGGTTAACAATGACACAACGTTTACAAGAAAAAATATTCAAAACCGGAAACAGGAAAAGACTCAAACATAATTCATATATTTGGAAAATCTTCTGCATTAATTTTATCTTAATTTCGTCAGAAAAAGAGAAAGAAGCTGCTGACCAAGAATAATTATAAAAATAACTAAACGAATGAAATAAATGATAAAAATTGACAACCTCCGAATCCTAAATTTTTTTTCACATTCCAGAATTTGGCAACGAGCACTTGTCATTCATTGCAAATGCCTGTTGTCTTCTCAGGAGTTATCAAAGGTGAAAATTTCAAGGACAGGGTAGCTTTTAAAAGCAATTTTGGAAAATTGCATTCAAGATGGTTATCTCGAAAAATAAGTTGTTTTGATCAAAGGACCTTTTCTGTGAACAGCAATGAGTGATACATACCAGTATATCTGTTGATAGTACGATATCTCTAGCTGTGGCCAAATATTTTGTTAATAATAAAGATTCTTTTTACATTTTATCAATGATTTTTGTTTAATGTTATTGTTTATTTTATTTACAAAAAAATGAATTCATATCACAGTCAAGAATTTTGGGAATGCGGGCTTGATTTTGTTCTAATGTGTTTTGAAATGTAACATTACCAATTGTTTACTTAATGTAAAATGTTTACTCGCATAAACATAATATGTTGCTTTAAATCAAAATACTCAAAATACACTGTATATATACCATTTTACTGAAATGAGTGTACTAATATAAATGCTTTGATTGAGAACAGCCAAATGAAACGTAGTGAAATACATATTTAACGGCGCATACAGTGACATATAAAACCTTTAAAAACTTTTTCATCTCTGGAATCATTTGATGTACGTCTGGGTCTTTTTCTCTCCGTGTTTTTATTTTAACATATCCTCTGCCAAATTTTAATTGCTCTTTACTCATTACATGAGTTTCTTTAAATTCAGCACATAATAAATGACCTAAAATACCTTTTTTTCTTCTTCAAAAACTGCATTTCCTTAGTTTCTTTTTTTTCTTTTAAAGGGTAAATTTCTCAAATTAAAAATCTGAAATCTCAAAAATAAACAAACTGTATTCAATATAGATAAAAAAAAATACATTTGTTCAAAGTCTTAACACTGCTGTCAATACGTTTCTATCCATGTTTTCACAGTTAAAATATTATTAAACAATAAAAATGGATATTATTAAATTTCTACTATCACTTTTCTTTTATTTTTAAAACATTGTAACTTCCAGGACTTAAAATTTTAAATACATGTGAAAATAATATTGTATTTTGATGCTACTTTTGGTACAATATACGTTATAAAATTTTAAAATATTCTTTTTCGCCTAGGTTGAACCTTGTGATCCATGTACTAAATCTCCAAATAAATAATAAATATTGATTATACAATGTCTGTTTATGAAATAGTCGTTTAATTTCTAATTAGGTTAGTGAGAATCTTTGTTTATACTTGCTTTATTCTCCAATTCAAACAATACCGTAATTCGAGGTCATAAGACAGCCATTATCAAGGCTAATTAATGATTCTGACGCAGATACCTCATGACAACAACATATTAGTCGCTTTAATTCCTGATATATAAACAACACAATTCCAGGTTTGGGGTTTTCTTACAACACTAGGACTACACATAACCTATTATTTAAAATATATTCTACATGTATTATATTCTTTTTCTATGTGTTTGTATCTTTTCCTACCTCCTCTGTACAATGTTTGTTTGTACATTTAAGAAAATAAATCATTGTCATAACCTATCTATCTTCTATTAATTTTTACCAGGGCCAAGGTTATTCTTGGATATCATTATTTACGCCTTGCAATATCTATGTTCATCTAGATGTTTGTTCTCTATGACAGACAATAAATATAGCTTTAAAGAAATAATCTATTCACCCGGTCAGGACTTGCGTTAAAAGGGGAATAATGTAGAATTTTTAAAATTCAAAGTCGTGTGTTTAAGGTTCATGACTGTTTAGTAAAACTGAAAGCAAACACTGAGTTTTTTTATGAAAATGAATTATCACAATGCAGCAAGAGATAAAGTAAATAATTACAATGAGTACATGTATAGATTTATGGCAAAATGTTTAAAAAAAAAAAAAAAGAATAAAAAAAATTAACAAAGTGATTTTTGTGAATACAAACATTTTTTAAAAGGCGTTATTAAAAATTTGATATAGAGAAAAAGGGTTAAAACTTGTCTATAAATATTTCCTTCTATTGTTACTTTAAATCATGTTTAATTATATAAACTAATTTATAGAGTCAATGGTACTCATAAGCATTGCTGTCTTACGAACCGTTCGTGTTTTTTTTTTAAGTGAATGAAAATTTTTTGACAGCTGGAACAGTTTTATTTTTTTTCAAATATATTATTTTGCCTTGACCTATTTTAAGTTTTTTACTATATGATAACATTTGTATTTGGTAATCACGTAATGCTGACATCACATTCATATTGAATTTGTTACTACATGTATCTATAAGCAAATGTTATATACAATTTTATAAATATACAATGAAACTCTGTAATCAGGTTTACCCCTTTAAATTTTATAACAAGTTCGGTAACAAATTTCAGCCTCAGAGAATTGTTCATTTACAAGGTTCCTCAGTATCACATATCCTCTAATTTCAATATGTTTGAAATATCCCTTTTTTTGAATTTTCTAAATTGTGACATGGTTAACTAAGTGATGATAATAATGTCACATTTTTAATACTTATTCTTCCCTACATGTTGTACAATTTTGTTTCTTGAAGAATATACCGAGCGATTTGAGTACACATGATCTTAAAAATATGTTATTCATTTTTTGACATTGAATACTGTTTTAAATTTTGAGAAAACAAATGATATTAAAAAGTTTAAATCCTTATTATTAAGACATTCTGTAACTTCTCTCCTCTATTACGTCTCTGTCCCTTCCGGTTCAATAGTGCTTCTCTCCACTGAAGAGTTTTCTTTCCTGCTCACACCTTGCAAAAATTCTATCAATTCTGAAAAAAGAGACATTGTTTAAAAGAATGTTTCTTTTTTTTAAATAAAAAACATTGAGTTTAGTTGTCACTTAACAGAAGGAAGAAATTCTTCAAAATCGTATATCAGTTTTGAATATTTGTAATATACCAAAGAACCAATACATAAGAATCGAATGGATTTGAACTACCATATCTAAATTGGATTGCGAAACTTCATAAAAATCCTTACAACGATTCATAGCAGGAAGTAAATGTTCAACCAATTGCAAGCATCTTTCTTTATTCCTCACTAAGATATTAACAGTAGTGAAGGAGAAACTTCAAGAGCATTGTGCAACAATATATTCGAGAAGTGTAAATCAGATGTGGATGTTGCTTAAAAATTCCCAGGGACCTTTGGACAATTTGAAATCATAAGATTTTATCAAAATCAACATCTTTAAAACTTACGACTTTTCAACTTTATACACAACCATTGCACACGATAAATTAAATTCCATGGGCCCGTTTTACAAAGGGACTTACGACTTAAGACCAAATTTAATTCTTTATATAACTTTTTAATAAACATCATATCGAAAATTATTTTAATCATATTAAAAGAAATATGGTAAGGTATTTTTACACAAATAATTTTGAAGATAATTATTAATATTGCAAAATTTTACAATCACCTGAAGTTTTTGGTCTTAGTCGTCATTTCTTTTGTAAAACAGACCCCTATGCTTTTTGATATCATTGACAGCAGGTTTTTCAATAAAAATTGAACTCGTAAATTTATGAACCTAGTCATTGGTCATTTGCAAAATATTTTTTGTTACAAAACATTCTGATATAAAACAGAAGTACTCTGAAGTTCACATAAAAAAGATACTTAAGTTTCTGACTGACAATATCTATGTTGTTTTTGGAGAACAAGTCTTCCAACAATCTATAGCAGGGTACCAATTATTATGCCTATTTTTGTATTCATATGAAGCAGAATTTGTCAAAAATCTTATAAAAAGAAGAAAACACTTGTTGTGGCGTTCAACTCGACATTTAGAGATATCGACGACGTATTGTTAATTAACAATGGTTATTTCCATTCTTATGTCGATACGATATATCCCAGTGAGGTTGAGATAAAAGATACCACAGAGTCTGAGATATCTGTTTCATCTTTAGATATTTTACTTGGAAAATTCGTTAATGGTAATCTAACAACCAAGCTCTATGATAAGCTTTATGATAAACGGGATGACTTTAACTTTTCAATCGTCAACTTCCCTTACTTAGGCAGCAACATTACCTGCATATGAATTTTATATATATCTCAGTTGATTTGATACGCAAGACCATGCTCTACGTATGAATACTTTCTTAAAAGATGTAAATTAATGACAAACAAGTTGATGAAAGAAGAATATCAACAGTCTCGTTGAACCGGAAGGGACTGAGTCGTGATAGAGGGGAGAAGTTACACAATGTCTCAATGGATAAGGATTTAAACTCTTTAAAATAATTTGTTTTCTCAAATTTTAAAACAGTATTCAATGTCAAAAAATGAATAACATATTTTAAGGTAACGTGTACTCAGATCGCTAGGTATAGTTCAAGAAATTAATGACAAACAAGTTGATTATCAACAGTCTCAAAGTCATCATTTTACGTTCTATGGTCTGAATTTATCATTGAGTCAAATGCTGACTTACGTTTTTCATACTAATAGTTTGTTCATTATTTATACACTAAATTGACGACGGATCTTTCCGTTATTTCCCGATCATGACAAGGAGCACATGGCGGGTGTAACCGGTCGGCAGGGGATGCTTACTCCTCCATGGCACCTGACCCCACCTCTGACGTTTTGGAGGTCTGTGTTTGCTCTGCTCCCATTTTATATTGTTTAATGGATTTTGTGAAATCTTGAATACTGTTCGTTATCTCCATATATTTCATCTTGGAAGCACATAAACATATAGATCGACAGGTTGACGGGTTGGCAATATATACGTCAGGTAGACAATTTGATATTCTCATTAGTTGATGAGTTGACTGGTCAACAGATAGAAAGGTAAACCGGTTGACGAATGTGAATATGTTGAAATGTAAAACTTAGATTTTTGTCTACTTTTCAATCTGTCAACCTGTGTCATTTGGCTGTCAAACTTGTGGACATGTGTCTTTTTGTCAACCTATCGACATGAGTCTTTTTGTCAACCTGTTGACGTGTATATTTGTCAACCATTCGATTTCTCAAGTTTTGTTGACCTTTGTCAACCTGCCAACCTGTATGTTTTATTTTAAAAAATGCACTTCATATTTAGATTGAATGCTTTAAAGGGTTTTTATTATTAAAAATTAAATAAGATATTATAGTTTTTTGGGTTTTAACTTTCCATTTTTTCAAACTTTATTGAAGGGTTTCTAGCATGTCTCATTTTGCTTTGATATGACAAAGTTTATAATTAAAATAATGTTTTAAAATCTTATTCATTAAAATGCTTTGTTTTTTTTTTGTCATTTTAATGTTAATGTACTAGATTCATTCTCAATAATACATGTTTATTAAAAATTGATTTTATTTAAATAATCCATTGATAATTAAATAATCTGGAATCTGTTATGATTTGTACATTTGCGTACTTTAACAATAGGAATTTTTTGTGCCATATCATCACATGGCTGTTTTTTGTTTTATTTTATACAAAATGAATCCTGCATCACAATATTTGTATTTTATCAGTTTCAGCATTTTTATATACGTGTGTGTTCCAGAATAAAAGAATAATGAAATCACACTAAATAACACGGTATTTTCCTTTTCTATAAATTGGGGATAGTTTTACAGAAAAAATCAGGAAATAATTGATAGAAATCCGAGGACTTGACAAATATATATTTTCTTATCATTCTTTTTTTTTTATAAGGAGAGAAATATTGCTATCCATGCTTTTTTGAGTCGAATGCAGAAAAATAACCCAGGTAATAAAGTTCAAACACAGGCATGTAGGTAGCTATTTCAGATTGTATGATGCAACAGAACAAATTCAAAGTTCTTTGACGAACGAAAAAAAGAGCTCATGACACATTTTACTGAGGGTGAACACAAGGTCTGTTTTGGGTGCACATACCCTCAGTTTCTTCAAACTTACAGCAGCCACACTGTTCAGTAAAAAATCCAGGGGATGGGGTACGTGATATCATATCAAACTATAGAAAGTGAAGAAAACAAAATTATTGGATAGTTGTGTCCCTTCCATAATGATGACTTTTCGGGTGACCTTCATTTGCGTGTTAAGAATTTTCCTGTTGCCCCTTCCCGCTCCATGCAAATGGTGTTCCTTTCTATGGGCCTATACACACACTTATTCACAAGCTTAGTCTAATCTAATTAAAATAAGATGTTAGATCCGCTCGCATACTCGCTACACTAAGCTAGATCTAACATCTAATTTTAATTAGATTGCGCATAGCCTTACCTCGCCCTGTAATTTTTCCGACCCCGACTGAGTCCAGTTTCTTGAACTCCGCCATAACAATCCCAGCCTCGTCTTCCGTGAGTGGCTCCTCCCCCGCAGTCGTGAGGGTAGAGATTAGATCCTCCACCGAAATCTTTACATCCTCCACGGATTCCTTGCCATCTGTACCGTATAACTCCTTAATGGCGCTCACTAACTGTGTCTGGATCTCCTCTTTTGTGCTCCAGTTTCCTTTCATCCATGACACGAATTCTTCTTTGGTGATGTAAGATTTATCAGCTTCAAGTAATTATGTAAATTAATTGCAATAATTAATTGAAAATTAGATATGATGAAGTTATTGATATGGAAAAACCCAACGAAGAAAACGTAAAAACATTTTTAGTATATCGTGATTAAAAGCACAAAATGGTTGTTAATAGAACTATAATTATTAGCACATATATTGAAATTTGTCCTTATTAAAAGAGGAGATGTAGAAATTCATTTGGTGTCTAATGAGCACTCCAGTTTTAAAAATATTTTCTTTTTACTTTTCTAGGTTAATTCACTAGCTGGCATCAAAATTGTGTTGTCCTTAAAGTCCAGCAAAATATTAACATGGTAAAAGAAACTAAGGGTTCGAATCTTCTCTTGTTGATTGTTTAGATATATTAAAGTGTGAGTTAATCTGCTGAGAGATTTGAATCTTTTGGAAGGTCACAGATATACTGAAACACGATTTTATCTCCCTAAATACATATATATACTAAATTTGGCGCTCCAGGCTGACCCCAGGAGTGTAAGGATCCCAACCATGCCCGGGGCTGATCCCAGCAGGCATCAAAGAAACATCAAACCATGCCCGGGGCTGATCCCAGCAGGCATCTACGACCGAGAAAAACCATGCCCGGGGCTGATCCCAGCAGGCAACTGAGAGCGAGAAACCCATGCCCGGGGCTGATCCCAGCAGGCATCTACGACCTAGAAAAAACCATGCCCGGGGCTGATCCCAGCAGGCATCTACGACCGAGAAAAAACCATGCCCGGGGCTGATCCCAGCAGGCATCTGAGAGCGAGAAAACCATGCCTGGGGCTGATCCCAGCAGGCCAGTGGAAACTAAATACTAGTCTAAAACTATAACAATTCAACAACTACCTATGTATATGAATAAAAATTGCATGAAAAAAGGTGTAATATATATAATACTAATGAACAAAAAACAAACATAGACTTGGGGGTAAAATTCCCCAGGAATAGACGCCAAATGAACGAAGAATGAGTGAAGCCCCCAAGGATATGTATACAGTATAATTTCAGAGATTGTATACAAAAAAAAAAAAAATTTGTTAAACTTTACATTACATTTCAGGTTTTAAAATAGCAGCCAGTTTCAGAGATTGCATACAACATGTAGGAATGTTAAGCTTAACACTATTTTCCAGATTCAAAATGGCACAGTCTTCTTTGAGCTCTTTTAATAGCCTCAGAATCAGTTCTAATATATCTCACATAACAGTCTGAAGACCATCTTCCTAAGTCTTTTATAACGTGGTCTTCAATCCCTGCTGCAGCAGCAGCTGTGGCGGCACCTATTCTGAAGGAGTGTCCTGCGTAGTTAGTATCATTCAGGCCAATTCGCATAAGTAAAGATCTCAGCTGTTGTATAAAAGTATCTCTAAGCATAGGTAAATGGTTAAATTCATCATCAATAAACAAGGGTGACTGAGGATTACATGGTAAGGCTTTCCTAGCTTGCAGATATAGACGCATAGTATGTACAGGCTTAAAAACTTCATTTTCATAAATAGTAATATTTACACCTCTAGAAAATGGATCCGTTTTAGAAGATCTCAACTTTAATACATAAAAATCAATTCCAAAACTGACATCAATAATTTGTAAAAAATGTTCGGAATTAGCCTTCTGACAGGTAATTTCTCCACATCTAAGAAACCCAAAATATGCACATGAAAACATACATTTTAACATGAGATCTACAAAGGGAGAAAAAGCCCCCATATCTAATACCTGCCATAATTGCTTCAAAATATTAGGTGTTATCGGTAGACGCTTATCGTTTATAACATTGTTCTGAGATCTTTTAACACCACGCAATACATAATGAAGCTGATCACACCCATTCAAAATATCACCATAACCTGATCTTATATAATAATACCTTATGCCTGCTAAATACAACTTAATTGTGTCATATTTTAGTTTTAAAACAGATTTACAATGAGTGACAAAGTACACTAACAAGCTCTCATTTACTGAAGGTAGACAAGTAGAATGGAACACGATTCCACTCATGCATACGAAGGACAGAAAACACTGTAAAGCTGAGCTATACGTTCGCTTGGTTGAACTGCACAAGGATGAGTCCCACAGATACTGGAGCTGATCTTTTAGTTCTTTAGCAACTCGAAATGATGAAGGCAAGGCGTTGGAATCGGATCGGCTTCTGGTGCAAGGGACCGGAATTTCTTCATCTGATAACGAGAAAGAGAGTCTGCAATAGTATTCTTAACACCAGGGATATGTACAGCATGTATAACATAATGATTGCATGCTGCATGAAAGGTTAAGGTTCTCATTAATTTCATAATGCTTTTGACTTTCGATCTTCCTTTCTTTATAATATCAACTGTTGCTTGATTATCACAGTGAAAAAGAATGCGTTTCCTGGGCCAGGCATGACCCCATAGAAGACAAGCCATAACAATCGGATAGAGCTCAAAGAATGCCATAGATGTTGTCTCTTGAGAAAGGTCAGCAGGAAATTCTCCTTGAAACCATTTGTTTTGATAGAACCCTCCAAAGGCTGTAGGGGTAGCATCTGTGAACAACTGCATATCTGCAGCTTCTGTAACATTGTCATCGATGAAAAAAGACACTCCATTCCAAGATTGTAAGAAGTCTGACCACATGGCGAGATCTGCTCTACACATACTGTCCAATCTCACATGGTAATGCAGCTGCTCAACAGTTGTGGACAGGGCTATAAGATGCGAGACGAAGGATCGGCCAGGCAGGACAACTCTGCATGCAAAGTTAAGATGTCCTAACAAACTCAGCAATTCTCTTTTTGTACACGATTTACGTAGCTTAAATGAATTGACAATATCTAATATCCTCTTTATTTTTTCTTGGGGTAAACGTGCCTCCATCTTAATAGAATCCAGATATATTCCTAGATATTCCAATTCTGTGCTTGGTCCTTCGGTTTTCTTCTCTGAAAGTGGGATTCCAAGTGTTCTAAAGATCCCAAGAAATTTGTCCATAATTCTATGGGCGTCACAGTGTGGAGGTACCACCACCAAGAAGTCATCTAAGAGATGCAGAACATTTGGTATGTTGTATCCATGTTCAGCAATCCAACACACAGCTGACGAAAGGGAATCAAAAATCTTTGGACTAGATCTGCTGCCAAAAACTAAACGTTTAAAGAAGTAATATTGTTTGTTCCATTGAATTCCATGGTAGGGCCATAAATGGTATGCGATAGGCATAATCTTGAATGCATCAGTGATGTCCGTTTTAAGGAGCAAAGCTCCTTCTCCATGGGATTTGATAAGCTGTATAGCATCATCCATAGTTACATAACTAAGAGAAAATTCAGACTTGTCAATGAGGTCATTTAGGCTGGGATTGTCTTCATCATTGTGTGGTGCTGACATATCCACAATGAGACGTTTTTTCTTCGAGTATTTGCTCTCTGCTATGCCAATAGGGTTAATTCGATAGTGTTCAAAGGGAATTTCATCAAATGGCCCATATAAATAACCCAATGAAAGTTCTTTTTGTATAAGTTCTGTAACACTGTCTGAATTAAGTGATGCTGATCTTAAGTTCTTACATTCATGTGAATTCTTGGGAAGATGCTGAAAACCAGTATGAAAACCAAGTCTAAGTCCATTGAGTAGATAAGCTGTATATTGTTTATCAGGGTGGTCTGCCAAAAGAGTTTGTAACATGTCAATGTTCACTGGTGTTGAAATTTTGTCGCTGTAGCTTTCTCCTACATCTTCTGTGGATTGTGAGCCCCAGTCATGTGGGGCGCAGTCGAGTTTTTTGAGTAAGAACAGTTCTGTTTTGAATGTTCCCCTTTACATTCAATGCATAGGTGTGCATTACGGCATCTGGGTAATTGGCAACCCCTGACCCCATTAAAGTTATTGCAAATTTCTCTTCCGTCATGGAATTGCCTTTTCCTTCCATAAGAGTCCATGTCTCCATATCTTTTATCTCCAGTGGGACCATTTAATGGACAAAATCCCGATAAATGCAGTGTGCTATTGCATGTGGTACAGGTTTGAGCTTTACTGTTGGCAAAGAGGTTGCAGAAAAGCGTGTTGTTTCGTACCGACCAGTCCACTAAAATGTTGTTGTATTTCAGGTGTGATGCGGCCATGAGGCTGAATTGCCGATGGTACTCGTAAAACCCCTTTCCTGGATATCTGGTAGCCATGTCTATGATATCACGTTCGTATAGATCTAATTCTTGTCTTCTCTGGGGGTATGCTTGGCCCATTATGTTTTTATGAATCCCAAAAGCCTGGATAAATTCTCCAATAGTAAGAGAACGTAGGAGTCTTTTATCAGGCTTCTTATTCTCCTCTTTTTCATCTGGAGGTGAGTAATAGGGAATCAACAGAGACGCCAGATTGACGTCCTTACCTGCTGTGATCTGCGAACGAATCTGCGGCGAAATCGTTTCCACCAGAGGAAGGGACTCTGCAGCAAATCCATAGCGGGTTCTCCGAGGTTCCGCCATTTGTTCCGCTGAACCGGCCGCCGCTTCCGAAATGCGGGCAAAAGCTGTATCCAATGTAAAACTGTCTTGGGTCGAGGAACTAGTAGTGGCGGACGAACTTTCTTGGCTAAGTGGGCGGCTAATTTGGCTCTGCGCAGTACTGGAGGCATTGGCACTCGTCTGCAGACCAGCTCCTTGTGTCATAGAATTGACCTTCGATGTTAAATTTATAACGTTTTGTTGCAAGGACTGAACTGTTGATGTTAACTTTGAAACGATGTCCACCAGCGTGTTGTTTTGACGGTCGCCGCCATTTCTGTTTTGGTTTAGTGTATTGTGGGATTGCGGAGCATCACTGTTGAGCTGATCCGTTGCATTATGGGATCGCGCACTTGCTACATTGTCTGTATGTAAACGAATCAGCACAGACCTGCGCGCATTGCCTGGGAAAGCGATCCCGCGAGATTTTAAAGAATCTTTCAATTGTGCGGAAGTCCAATTTTCCGGTAAATCTGGATTATAACTGTAGGGCACAGTTCTTGTACGCTTGGGTCCCATGGCGTAGAATCAAGATAAAAAATCACAAATATCCTGATATAGAATAAATTGAGTTCAAAACAGATCCACAAGCTATTTAAATGACCATGTAACAATACAGAGGTATGTATTACATAGCGTAAATCGGTAGAAAATTAGGGAAAACGAACGAAAATAATAGCTGCAACACAGAGCGTCTAGATGCGAATGGAACAATACAGACTCCCCCTCTAGGCATCAATGCCCCTGGTTACTCTATTCTCATTGGTCAATATCATCTCCCCTGTCTGACCAAATTCTAAAATTAGATATGCTGCCCCACAACAGAATTATGCAAACTTTCTTGTTATATAAAAGACTTTATAGTAACAATAGTTAAACAGGTACAAGTGAAATAGAAAATACATTGTTTATAAACAATAATTTAATTCTATTAAATTTCAATTAAAAGAGGATATATAGAAATTCATTTGGTTTCTAATGAGCACTCCAGTTTTACAAATATTTTCTTTTTACTTTACTAGGTTAATTAACTAGCTGGCATCCAACTTGTGTTGTCCTTAAACTCCAGCAAAATATTAACATGGTAAAAGAAACTAAGTGTTCCAATCTTCTCTTGTTGATTGTTTAGATATATAAAAGTATGAGCTAATCTGCTGAGAGATTTGAATCTTTTGGAAGGTCACAGATATACTGAAACACGATTTTATCTCCCTAAATACATATATATACTAAATTTATTGTATATAAAGAGAGAAGGCATATCTAATTGCCAGGCATACGTACGGTCTTTATCGTGTTCTTTGAAAATCCTTTTGACGAATGCTTCTGATGGACACAGACGTAGACACTGCAAGATGGACCTAAAGCCTTCAGCATTGACCAACCCAGTGTCGGGATCGGCATACATATGGAAATATCTTTCAACCCCTGGCAAGGAAACACGTTTTTAAGGTTTTAAACATTTATCTTAAAAACATAATTATAATTCTATAAAAAAGAGTTGCACAAAATTATTTCCTTTTTCCAGTGGGATTTTTTAAAAGAGAAGTATTATTAAAAGAAAACAAAACAAGTATAAGGTAATAAAAATTATTGTGGTAGCAAGCTTTATACAGTGTTACAGATTTACAAAATATCGATAAAGCAATGTGTTCTTCAAAGCAAAAGTAAAATTTAAATTCTTACCATCTTGATATTCGGTAGGTACATTGTCCTTCATTTCAAAACAAAAAAGATAATGTCGATATTAATGCCTATGTTACAAGAATGAAAAGTATCAAGAAGTCACAAGAATACTCATAAAATCTAATTTACACAAGTTTAATCTTTATTTTAAATCTTACCATATTGTGTGTTTCACTCAATGAAGTTCTTTATAATGGTGTTAAAACATTTAAACTTAAATAAAAGAATTAACACACTGCATCATTAACTCTATACAAGAAAAGCAAATTTTCAAAGAGGTATATTTAAAGAACTTTTAAATGACTTTCAGTATATTGGTGTGTGTGTGTTTTTTTAATAATTAAGATACAATTGTTTACTAGTCATTATTTATGTAACAAAATACATCATAGTTTGATAACAATTCTCAATATGAATTATATGATATAGAAGAAACACTGTGCAGTAGATTCCTTCTTTTAAAATATGAGATTTTAACTAAAAAATTAGTAAGAGTATGCAATTAGTTTCAGTCCAAGTTTAATTTCCGCACTTTAATTGTTTGAACAGTAAGAAGATATGAACAAATTCAAAAGATTGATAGGTTCTTTTATGTATCATGTTTTATATTATGAATAAAATTGTATCCATTTTATGCTTTTCAAAGGAATGATATTTCATAATTTATTTCATTATTGCAGCTAGCGGCTAACAAGGCTAAGTAAATTCTGCTTAGATTTCCTTCTATTTTTTCATTCAAAATATATAATGAGAAATCGGATGACATAATCTGGAATGTCTGTATGGTTATTTTATGGAGCTAGAAAATTCTCTGTAGCATAAATGACCTTATTTTAATTAAAGAAAAAGAAATCCCTATGTACAAAGGAATTGCACGTGGTGGATTTTAAATTAGGACAGATAAAATTTAGCGTAAATGAACGTGTCGACATTCATCATTTACATGTACTGCCAAAGATTGAATAGAGCAAAATTTTATAAATACATGATTGTAACAATGGAGAAAGGAAGTTTATCTTTATTTCAAACTTATTTTCTAGCAGTCAGAAACCGAGTATTTGTTTACAAAATGGACATTTTTAATCTCTTATTGCAATAACTGACGCAATAATAGATTTTAATCTTTTTGTTTCCTCTTCACACATTAGTTGGAGTTACAAGAATTTTAATAGCGTCGTTTAAAGTCAACAAGTCCAGGCTTTTGGATATCATTGACAGCCTTTTCAATGAAAATGAAACTCGTAAATTTTGTTACCTTGTCACTGGTCATTTGCAAAATTATTTTGTTAAAAACATTCTGATTGTACAAACAAGTACTCTGAAGTTGAAATGAAAGAGATGCTTGAGTTTCTGATTAATAATACAATGTATCTATCTTGTTTTTGAAGACCAGGTCTTCCAACAATCTATTTGAATTCCAATGGGTACCCATTGTCGCAACCACGGCCAAAATGTACGATCCTTTCCCATTCTGAGAGAGATCTATATGGGGACTCCGAACCGTGTCTTGAGACGATGATGGGTACCAACAGCGCCCCGTTTTTAGTAGTCCTTTTTGTATTCTTATGAAGCAGAATTTGTCAAAAATCTATTGCATGAACAGAAGAAAAAACTCGTTTTGGTCTTCAACTCGACATTTAGGTAGATCGACGACGTATTGTGAATTAACAATGGTTATTTCTTTTCTTATGTCTATGAAACATAAATAGAGAACGAAAAATATTCAAGATCAAACATCCATAAACCAATACAAAATAGGACAAAACATATACACGGACCTCCAAAACATCAAAGGTGGGATCAGATGCCATGGAGGAGGAAGCATCCCCCGCCGACCGGTCACACCCGCCGTGTGCTCCTTGTCATGATCGGGAAATAACGGGAAAATCCGTCATCAATTCAGTATATAAACAATGGACTAAATTAGTATGAAAATCATCAGTCAGCATTTGACTCAATGATAAATTGTATTTACTAACAATGCCATTGTATCGACCATAAAACTTACGAAATGATGACTTTAAACGATACTGTTGATATTCTTGTTTCATCAACGTGTTTGTCAATAATTTACCTCGTTTTAGAAATTGTTCATACGTAGAGCATGCTCTTGCGTATCGAATCATCTTAGTTATATAAACTCCGTATGCAGGTGATTTAAACAATAAAATGCTTTCTTTGTTTGTTGTTACTGGAATGAAAGGAAGCAGCTGTTGCAGAAAAAATACATAACCCGCGTAAGCGGGTTATGTAAATTTTTTCTGCAATAGCTGCGACTGTTCATTCCAGTAATAACAAACAAAGAAAGGCATTTTATTGTTTATATTTATATCTGTTTAAATAATCAATTAAAGTAGGGTTAAAAAGATTAATTATTGTATAAACGATGCGAACGTCTTTATACGTTTCATTGATGGAACAGCCACTGATTAAGAAATCTGTACCGGCGACATGCCTACTGTAGTTTATGCAGTGATGAACGCAATGGGGTTTCTTTAGAAATAAAGGAGAAAATATTCAGTGGATGTAAATATAAAGGTATATTGCTGCATAAGCAAGGGAAGTTGAGGATAGTAAAGTTAAAGTCATCCCGTTTATCATAGAGCTTGGTTGTTAGATTACCATTAACGTCTTTTCAAGTAAAATATCCAAATATAAAACAGATGGTCCGACTTCGAGGTATCTTTTATCTCAAGCTCACCGGGATATATCGTTTCGACATAGGAATGGACATTACCATTGTTAATTGACAGTACGTCGTCGATATATCTAAATGTCGAGTTGAAGGCTAAAACAAGTGTTTCCCTCTTTTGCACGTATAAGATTTTAGACAAATTCTGCTTCATATGAATACAAAAATACCTCTACTTATAACGGATCGCAAGTGGTACCCATGGGAATTCAAATAGATTGTTGGAAGACCTGGCCTGGGGGCCATAAAACTTAGACGAGCTCACTTTTGGTCTTGGTCTCACTTTTAACAAAGGAATATATTGTGGAAAAGTGAGACTGATATCAGACGGGAGCTCGTCTAAGTTTTATGGCCCCCAGGCCTGGCCCCGGGATCATGAAGCATCTTAAGCTAAAGTCAAAAAATGCCTTAGATGCTGAATTTTTTTTAGAGGTCAAGCAGACCAAAATGAAAATGCCTTCCGATTTTGTATCATCAGTCTGCTGTTGTATGCAAATTATGAGTTTCCTTTCACAAGTTTTAAAGATTTTATAGATAATTGAAATTTTGACTTAAGTCTAAGTCTGTTTCATGATCCCGGGGCCAGGTCTTCAAAAATCCTTTAGATATTGTGAATCTGAAATTCAAGCATCTTTTTGCTGTCAATTTAGAGTACTTGTGTGTACAATCAAAATGGTTTCTGATATCCCGATGAGCTTGAGATAAAAGATACATGTCAGGCACGTAGCATCGTTTTTGAAAGTGGGGGGGGGGGGGGGGGGGGGCCAACCTCAGAAAAATGTTCTTACTTACCTAAAAAAAAAACGCAAATTGAAAATTACCCAAACTCGAAAATCCTATATTTCGTGGGGGGGGGGGGGGGGGGGGGGGGGGGGGTAGTGGCCAACTTTTTTCAAGGCAAAGTTCCTTTCACTGCCAATTTTTTCCTATATTTTCTTCCTATGTATATACTGTGGTCAAAAGTGGGGGGGGCCAACCAGCTTTTCAATAGACATTTTCTATAGTAAAGGTAATGTTGGGGAAAAAAGTGGGGGGGCCAGGCCCCCCCTGGCCCCCCTGATACTACGTGCCTGCATGTACCACAGAGTTTGAAACAGAATAAGCAAATACAATTTATCATTGAGTCAAATGCTGACTGACGTTTTTCATATTACACGTAATTGTTAGTCCATTATTTATACTCTGAATTGAAACCGGATTTTCCCGTTATTTTCTGATCATGACATCGAGCACACGGCGGGTGTGACTGGTCGGCAGGGGATGCTCACTCCTCCATGGCACCTGATCCCACTTCTGATGTTTTGGAGGCCCGTTTTTGCTCTGCTCCTCTTTTGTATTGTTTATTGACTTGTGATCTTGAATACTGTTCGTTATCTCCATATGTTTTATTGTAGGTTTTATTGGATCGATTAATGTTCATTATCTTTACCCTTCCCAAATTGATTATGAAAACCTGAATTATCAAATGGAGGACAAATCAAGAGTACTGAAATTTGAAAATTCAAATGGCAATCATGCTCATAATTGCAATTAAAGAATAAAAAATGTAAGCAGAACCAAAACAGACATCTGAGATCAGAAAGAGAATCAGGTGCCGTGGAGCAGAAAGCATTCCCATGTCGACCGGTCATATTAATCGTGTGCTCTTTGTCACGATCGGGTAAACAGCAATCAACGTGCAAATAAAGCCCCGACAACTGCATGAAAAATATTATTCAACAGTATACTGTATTGTACTGTGTTTTAAATAAGGTCATTGTATCAGTGACGATAGAATTTACGAAGTTGTTAATATCCTTGCATCAACAAAATTGTGAATAGCTTGACAATGTCTTGTTTTGTAAATAGTTCGTTTTTAAACATGTTCTTGCGTATCGAGTCATTTATGAGATAACGCCATATGCAGGTGCATGGTAATTGTATTTTACTACATAAAAGTGAGGAAAACTGACGATAGAAAAGTTGAAGCCATCAAGTCTATCACTAAGTTTAAATACTTTGCTGTATAGTATGTAACAGATGTGTCCGATTCTGTGGTGTCTTTTATATTGAAATACAACGCAGGATATGTGAATGACTTTACTGTCATAGCTTTGTTATTAGATATGGGCTTATTATTATGTTGAGTACAATATTAAGCAATCAATGTCGCTCTCTAACAGAAATATCCAAATATGAAACAAATGTGTCAGACTCTGCGATATCGAGTTCAATGGGATGTGTTCAATAAATGTAGGAGTGGAATGGATATTAATTGATAAACAATCTTATATTCATTAATTGTGAAAAGGACAAGGCAAGGAACTTCTGTTTATGTAGTTAAATCGGAATATGTTTTGGGGTGTCTCGTACAGGAACGTTTCAAAATTTCAACCTGGGGTTCATAGAGGAGCCAAAACTCAAAACATCCTGTTTTCTTTCCAAAACTCTTTAATTTGAAACTAATATCCGCTTTTAAAGCAAGCTGGGGGCGTGGGGGTCAACAAATTAACCATCAGATATAAGTTCATTTTAGATGTGATATCTTAAGCTGCATGTCAACTATCAGCAAAAAAAATTCAACATTTTAGTTTTCGATCATTTTTGTATATTTTTATATGGAGCACTTCTTCTAAAGATCAATAAAGTCTAAAAATGGCTACAACCACCCAGTCATCTTAAACATGAAAATTAACATGCATAAGGTAAAAAAAAATCAATTTAACTTGCGTACAAAATTTAATGCAAAATACGAGTAATGAAACAATAACATTATTTTTTAATAGAAAAACGATGAAACCGAAGTTTTTGACATTTAAATATATTTAGACACTTTCACTTCCTGAATAACCGATTCAAGATCGAATTTCAAATGTTTTTAGACCAAAAGTAACTTCACCGCATTATTAACATAAACATTGGATCTTAAACTTAATTTACATACGTTTGAAAAAATAAAAAAATATTTCAAAACTTTTAGAAAGAAACATAATCTTAGCAATCACATGAAACCTAGTTCTCTTTTTTAAAAATAAGTTTGCAACAGAAATCTTGCATTTTTTTTTTCAGATGAAACAATTCAGTGAACCGTGACTAGTCTCTTTCTTTGAATTTGAAAAATGATCTGTTTCTGGCGACATATTTGAAGAACATCATATTTTCCTCGGCTTCGGCCTCACTGATGTAGTTTCCGGGGTCATTCGGTATAGCACGGACATTCTGTCGGCTGCCTCCCATTAATAAGCTTCTATCAACGTCACTTGGTTTGCAGAAATATTTTGCCGGTCCAAAGCCGGTTAAGCGCGATTGCTTCGCGGATGCCATCCCATGGGGGTTGGGGAGAGGTTCTAATGTGGGTCTACTTGCATCAGATCGCGCCATTGCCCGGAAATAAAGGAGATTCTCCGCATCCCGCAGCTCCCTTCTTTTCTCTGCCAAGACTTCCTTTGACTCTTCCAGATGAGCCTCGTTTCGGAAGTAAGCCAGTTTCTGCATTATCGACCGTGTTTCAGCTAAAGATACCATGCCTGAATTCTTGTTCTCTTTTGGTACGCGAACCTCTGCGATCCTAGCTTTTTTCTTTTTCTTTTCCCCCTTCGACTTTTGCTTCGCGTCGGTAGCCGTTTTCTTCCTCCTTGATTTCGTTTGTTCCATCAAGTCATCGGGGAACACCACGCTGCTGGTGGCTGTGTCAGTTTTATCTTCACCAACTGCACTAGAATATGAGCAGTTTTCGTAGAAACTTGTGATGTCGTTATCTTCCGGTGGACACAAGTCCTCTGTGACCCACTGCGACATCTCCTGACACTGGCCGGAATATCCCTCTGAATCAAAATAGAACTGTTGGAAATTTCCTACATTCCCATCGTCCAGATCCTTCCAGAACTTGGCGTCTGCAACATCTGCTTCCGCCGGTAATGTCTGTGAGGAAGGACATTGGGTCGTTTGTTCTATCCTCCCCGTGCGTTCAAACTTAGCATAAGGATCCTTCTTCCGCTTTGGTGCTACATTTTTGGTACTTTGTGCTATTGTTATTTTATCGAAAACCTGATTTTTGTCTTGGTATTGCTGTGTTTCGCCTAAAATCAAGATTTAAAAAAACATCAATATATCAGTAACTATCAGTTAATGTAATTAATGTTATACTGTATATCGTTGACATCGCGAAGAAAATTCCTATTCAGATTCGAAGAGATGTTCAACTGACCACTGAGGTCTTTAGAAATATTACGCTGTCATGTTTTATAAGTACCTTAGTAAAATAGATCGAAAGGCTTTAAAATGAAGGTATGAAAAATAAAAAGTTTATTTTTTAATTGTCACCTTTCGTGACCTGTTAAAATGAATTTAATCAATACAATATTAATATGAAATTTTTGCCAAAAACCAAAGGACTCTATGTAAAAAGATAATGATGACAAGCAGTATACGCAGTTATAAAGTTTTTGCTTTTGAAATATAAAGACTCTCCAAGATGCACCTTTGAGTCCATGCATTTCCAGATTTGCTTAGCGTGAAAAAAAAAGAACTTGGGCGGATAACAGGTCATTGTTCGCCATACTAACCTGTAGGGATCGAGTGGTGCCTGGCGGTGTTGAATGACTCTGGTTCCTCTGTGGTCTCTGTGTAGGTTCTCAGATCGAGATCAGAAAGAACGATGACACTCCCACCCTCACACCCCTCGTTATCTGTCATGGAGAGAGAAATAAAAGTATATAAATCTGGGAATACTTGTGTGAGAATTATTTGTTTCGTGTGTTAATACCCTTCCTTTCAAGAAAAAAACTTTATGCAGCAAAGAAAAATATATCAGTTTTTTTTTTATCTGATAAGACCCATCCGCGTTCCAACCTTCTAAATCAAAATTACAAAATCCATTGCAGAGATGACAGTCTTGAGGAAAAAGAATGTTTTTACAAATCATTAAAAACCTTCAGTTTTTTCCCATGCTTTCGAAATACTAGTAAGGCGTATTTTATTATTTCTAAGCATTTTTTCAAATTAAGAGCTTAGAAAATTTTGATTTTTAAAAAAAATTTTCTTTGTGTCTGTTGGGGGGGGGTCGTGTGAGTGGTTAATGATACGTTGAAGGACACATACCCGTACCGGCGAACTCTGAATTGTCGGTGCTGGACGAATCCTGGACACACTCCACCTCCCTATAGATGCACTTTATCCCCTTTCTGGCCGGAGCGGTGTGGACATCGAGGTGTGTGGGGGCCTTCACGATGGCCACGCCCTCCTCATCTTCCTCCGTCTCGTGCTCCTCTTTGATCTGCTGTAAATTTGAAAGGAGTTTCTTGTAAATTTTGAATATCTCTAACATGACGCACGGGGGGGGGGGGGGGGGGGGGGGGGGTAAACCAGTCTGAGTTTTCAAAAATTGTTTTATAAATATAACATCATTTACATGCATATGGTATTACACTTTTACTAAAATCGAAATATTAAACATGTATGGCAAAATGGTAAAACCCTTGAAAATTTCCAAGTTTTTCAATAATGTGTCAGGGTCTTTAGACCATGGGGTAGAAAAATAAATAGTACTGCAGCTTAGACTTAAAATTAATATCGGGTGCACTGGTCCTCGCATAGTGACCAATTAGAGACTTATCATTCCTTGAAATTACCGTGTTGTAGTTGCAAAAAATGACATGTTAATTTACACGTAATGATACCCTTAAGACTTACAAGTATGATAACTACGGATACATGACCTGACTGACGTCATTAGGTGACTTAATGAAGCTGATTGTTTTAAACAAGTATTGGTTACAGAGTTTTAACCAGCAATTGTCTTTGAAGTAGAACATCTACAGTAGGCATGCGTAAGATTTGGTAGATGTTAGTCATTTTTCCAAACCTTATGGCCGCTGTTAAAGGTGAAGAAATTTAATATCAAAAGTTTTTATTTAAACAATTGAAGTCTTTGATGTGACAGCCCCTGAACAACTTTAGACTTTAAATTAGTTTTAAGGATCTTATATTGTGCGCTAAAAGTAGCTTTACAGTTAATAATCTGGGTGTTTCATTTGTAATTTATTGCTTTCAGATATATACTATTGATGAAAATTTGTTTACTATAGCTTTAAATAGTTATACACACACATTTAACACACATGCGTCACACACCCTCACACACATAACACACACACACACATCAATTTGAAAAATCCAATGAAAAGCACGAATCGTGAAGACAAAAACATGGAAACTTGTGAGGTGGGATGAGGTGTCTTGTAGAAATAAGTATCCCCTGTCCACCAGCTACATCCACTTTTGGTCCCCAGTAGTTAGGTAAACGGAGCAACCCATGGTCAAAATGCAATATTAAAAATTAATAGTAAATGGTGAGGACATGTAAATCAAAATACTCCCCATCAATAGGTCGTATTTGCAAATAACGTCATTATAATGACCACAGAATTTGCGAAATGTTGACTTTTAACGAGATAGATGAATTTTGAATATCCTGCATCAATTTACTTATTTGTATGTAGCCAGCCTGTGTTAAATAATTACCATACTCAGGACATACTTTTGAGCATTCATTGAATCAAAACTTGAATAGACTGTAGTGAAATATGGCTTCATAAATTAAATGCGTGTGCAATTTCAATACAAAACTGGAGCAGCCACGTAGCATCGATTTTGAGGTTGGGGGGGGGGGGAGGGCCAGCCAGAGAAAAAAATGTTTTACTCATCTGAAAAAGTTGACAACCAAAAAGGGGGGGGGGGGGGGAGGGAGGGTAACTTTTTTCCAATACCAACTTCTTTCAGTACCAATTTTTTTTTACATTTTCCTCACCATAGAAAAGTGGGGGGCCAACCAACCTTTCAATGAACATTTCCTATAGTATAAGTAAGGTTGGGACCAGGCCCCTCCTCCCCCCCCCCCCCGGTTGCTACGTGCCTGTGGAGGTCCTGTAGTTGGAATGTGTTTCAATATCGGGTACACTAGACCTTACAGAAACTGACCTAGATAATAGCTGTCCTTGTAAATAATACTGTGTTAATTGAAAAATGACAGGTCTATTTACACATAACTAAACTTGTACCTGATCTGACGTCACTTGGTGCCGTAATGAGGAAAATCTGATAATTAAAGAAAAATTGTCTAACAGTATTTAAGGCACATCTGTCTTTTAAGTAGAACATTAAAGCTTTACATCCAGAAGACGTAATTCAGTTTACACTAAAAAATACCAGTATACTCGTATATGTTATTTATGTATAAGAGAGGCTTGAAAACAAAAGACTTCTTCCAAGAAGTATTTGACAAAAATGTTTTTCTATTACTCCTCTAAGGAATGTAAAGAAATTAATTTGTATTGATGCCAAATTCATGAATTTTGGTTTAACATATATTAAGAGCAGATAACTGGGTTTAAATATTATTTGTTAATCATATTTTATGAAGCATATGCTTCACCATTTCAAAATCAGTATGCTTTTTTAAAAGTTTTTTTTTCTATTGGAGGACCTTTCAAAAGTCAATCATATCAAAACTTATAAACTGCTTCGCTATCTACAACCTTTCCTCATGATAAATTAAAAACTAGAATCTTTGACAAAAGATAACTGCTTCTTTAATAAAAATTGAAATCCAGATTTTGCATATTTTGTGACTTGTCATCCACAAAATAACTATAAATTAATAAATCAAATATTACCGATTCTACAAACATGTACTAGTTGTGAAGGTGACTTAAATTGAGACTGTTGATATTCTTTTATCATTAACTTATTTGTCAATATCTTACCATATTGCTACATAAATAAGAAAATTTGAAGTCAACACGTTTATCATTAAATTTTGTTGTTAGATATTTTTAGTGTCTTAATTACCTCCATTTTCACGATTTCATTCTTTACAAGCTCTTTTACGTCCCTTGCGCCATATTTAGTCCTCATTCTGTTCTCGAACTCCTTCCGTTCCGCTCTCTTTTGCTCTAGAAGGTTCCTCAGCTCCTGTAACCGCTCCATTCTCTGTCGACGGAGAATCTCAAAGTCGTCTGACGTCTGGGGCAGAGCTTCGCTGTCGCCATGACTGAACTGACAATCGTTCTCTCTTTCTAAAATGCTCTTCTCTGTGGAGATCTTCTTCTCCATCTCACTCTCTAGATGGGCAAGTTCTTGAATGGAGCATCCTCTGCTCCTTGACACAGAGGTTCCCGCGCTCATACTAGCTACTACAGGATAAGCGTTCCTACTTGACAGACGACTGTTGACTGTTGGCTTTTGGACGCTTTCAATGCATTTCTCTAACATGGAGCCAACAAGACTCCTGGAGACGGCCTCGGCGTCGGTTGCATTTTCTCCTAGGATGCTGGTCTGTGGAGCAAAGATTGAAAGGTGTCCAAACTTTTCTTCAAACGACGACTGAGGAGAGGCGGGGAAAGGCAGTGGCTCGACCTGATCGTCTGCTGAAATCTGATTCTCAACTTTCTGTTCGTCTCCTTTCTTTTCAGCTTCATTCGATTCATTTTTAACGCTTCTGTCTCGCTCAGGCTCCGGTGTGGTATTTGCATTTTGGGACAAATTGTATTTACTGATTTCAGAGAATGTGTACTTGTTTACGAGAATCTGCTTCTTGTCCCCCTTCTTAAACAGTTTATCGCAGGTTGTCTGAATCAGGTTTCGAAAACTTGTGACTTCTTCGTTATCCTCACTTTCCACGCACGCTGGATCAGTCAGATCAAATAGTTCTGAAGACTCAATATAAAGAGACTTCGACTGTTTTGTATCTTTGGTGTTTTGTTTGGGTGCTTCTTGGAAAGATGTGTCTCTTTGCTGAGACGATTTGTGTTGTAGTGTTTGTGCATCTTGTTGACTGGACAAAGTCTTGTCTTCGGCAGTATTGTTTCTGTTTTTGTTTGCTATCTCACTTGCCACACGTTTTACCCTATTTTGTGATTGTATTCTCGAGGTTAACTCCCTGCACTCAGCATCATCCTCTTCTTCTGAAATGGTGTCTAATCCTTTGCTTGACAAATCTTTCATGTTGTAGACTTAATCTCTACGCGTTATTCTGAAAATAAAGGTAAAAATGCAATTTTAGTTTAAAATCGTGCGATACGATTAGATTTTACATGTCATAATCTTAATGACATTTGTTAAAAAAAATAAAAGAGATGACTTTGTAAAATTTAGCATCTGAATGCAGCAAAAAAAAATGTAACATGAATTTCTGTTCTTCTGTGCGTGTAGTGCTTTATGTTTTATGGATTCCAGAAAAGGGTTGCTGAAAATGTTAATTTGTTACCATCTATCAAGCTATCTTACCTTTGCCGAATATATATATACCGGTAAATTTTGAATAGAAGTTGTCTATTTTAAAAATAATATAAAGTATACTTACGATTTTTGTTGTTCATGCATCCTCTATAAGAATAAGAATATCGCTAGGATAATGACGTCATAATCAAATGATTTTATTGTGATGTCAAGTGCATGTGTGACGTCACAATGCATGTTGAGATCATAATAAAGTTTCTCGCATTTGAATTAAATGAAAGTTAAGAAAATTAGTAATTTTAATTTTTTAAATAAAAAAAAATACAGTGTAAATAATTATAAATAATCAGGGACCTATATACTAACAGTACATAAGTCCCTGATATAATCATTATTATATAATCAAAGGTGAGGACTTCTAGATGTAAACAATAAATTTGCTTTGAGACAAACATGTCAAGCCTCTTTTAAAAACTAAGTTTAATATTTTTTTTCTTTGAAAAGGATGAGCCATATTTTGCAGCGAAAACCAAGAACTATTAATGATGCATAAATTTATATCCATATTTTCATTTCTTCTGTATATTAAAATTCTGAAAAATACTTTTTTTAAAAAATTAATTCTTGTAAATTTAAATTATAATATGACCGTTTTTATTTATTTATTTACATTAAATCCACTTTCTAAAAAGTATTTTGTAAATTGATTATGACATTAGAGATCATAGTAAAAATACCAAGGCTTTGGAATATCAGATTATTCTTTTTAAAGTAAATTGTTACTTTTGATAATAATTCCAATTTTTACTGGAGATTTTTTTTATCAGATGATATTTCCAATTTTTACTGCAGAATTTTTTATCAGATGAAAGTCGTGTAAATGTAATACGAGTAGTTTCCCCTAATCTAGATTTCATCGATCCAAACGTGAGTCGAAGCCTGACCAATGAAAACATTGTGACTGATCGCCATATTGCTCTGTTTTACCACACCCTGGATAAAGTATCGGTGAGACAGTGGACTGAAACGGGGTCACGCGGAGACCCTAATTGCAGCCCATGACCTCCGAATAATATTAAATGGAATTGGAAAATATCGTAGCAAATACGGTGTACATAAAAGCTCGTGAAGGTATGTATACCACCCCCATTCTATCTCCAAAAATCGACGATCGCCGTTTGCTCGATTATCAGTGTTATTATTTATTTGCATGCTGCATCGGTACTCAGGATAAATTTCTGTCAAATAAGTAACGATGAAAAATTTTATTTTAGGCTTGTACACAACCCTTTGTTATTTTTTTTCGATTATTTTATTGATGGAAAATGAAGGCCATTTTCCCCTTCTTTCACTGTGGCCTAAATATTGTGACGATGGTTTCGCATCTTTGGTTAATCTGTCAATTTAACCATTTTCCCGTCTTTCTTGTTAGGTCTATAATCTTTTTATTGTGATTTGGCGTATTGAAAAGAAAACTCGGTATGTAAGACGTACAGCAATGAATGGTTCAACAACTTTCAAATGTTATTTTTTTACTGAGCCCGCATTTCCTCGAAGTACACTGTAAGCCAAGTCGATATGACAGCTCTGCCATTACATGTTTTGAAACAAAATAAGCATATAGTAGTCCAAGTGTATGCATTGAAAAAACTATGAAAATGAATAATGGTTATCTGCTAAGTAATAATTCATCAAAAGCAGAAATTAATATTTTTTAAGCAAATATAAGCATTGTAAGGCTCCCATTCATTTGATAAAAAAATAATTATATAAACCCCCCCCCCCCCCCCCCCTGAAAACCATGGGCTAAAATGTGGTATATTGCTATAGACTTCTAGAGAAAATTGGATTTATTTTCCGTAATAATATATCATTAAATAGATATCATTAACTCTGTGAAATGGCTGTAAATTGTTCGATTTGAGTATTCAGAATTACATTTCTGATGATCTTGCTTGGTCACATTCAATACATGTTCCATAGACTAGTTTTATCTGTGTTTAACTGATTGCCTTTGTAAGTGGACCTGTGTGTGTTGTAAATAAAAATAGGTGTGGATTTCTTTAAAACTACCAATATGGATTTTTTTTCATGTTTTGTAAGTCAATGTTATCTGAAAACCCAAATTCAGTCATATGAATATTTTATTATCAAATTGTATAATGGTGCAGATTAAAGCATTTGAGTACATCTTTATTGTTGTTTGAAATTTCTGAATATTGAGTTTGCTTTAACTATTCTAATCTAGGAATTATTTTAGAATATAATATTTAAAAATCACACTTATAAATGGCATTGATGGTTTTGATTTATGGAAGACTCCATTTTATAATCTTCCGTATGATACTGGTGTGGGTTGTAAATTTTGTATAATAGGATCTAAGGTTAGAATCCCCAACTTAGCGTTACCATGAAATTCACCTTGAAATTCACGTCAGATACTCTCTGCCATTGGAAATAGCCTGCTCGTTGATACGGGAAATATAGGATTCCTTACACCTGGCTAGCTCTCAATAATGTGAACATGATGGCAAAAGGATCATTTTGTTAGATAGAAAAAAAAATCAGTAAGCTATTTACAGTGTTCAGAAAGGAGAGATGCAAGGCATAGGATGTAGTTTTTATGTTTGTGCAATTAATCAAAGTGGAATATATCGTAACATACATCTGCATTTTTTTTTTCATATATCAAATAGATATTTCTAATTACGTGTCAAAGTATCATCTAATATCTTGGAGTTTGTGGATAAGTAGGCAAAGATTTGTGCTATTTTATTTTACACACACTTATAAAAATAAGATTTGCTGTTCCCTTCACAAAAAGGTCATCTGCATATGCCAGTAAAAAAATAAAAGAAAAAGATTTGGAAAGAAGAAAAATTTGTGAATTCAGGAAGTAAGATGAATTATAGAATAGTACCCCCTCCCCTCCCCACAAGCAATCAGCTTAAGAGGTCAAAGGTGGAATAATACAACTAATTAGAATTGAATCTGATTCTATTCTCTCATACATGCAACACAACAGTATCCCATGACTAGTGATGCACTAGTAACAATATAGCAAATAATAGACCCGAAAAGTTACAGATTTTGATTATTGATTAATTGTCAGAATCGATCATAGAATATGTATTAACTGCATGACACTTAAGAGTTCTAGCTGTTAGGAGATTTACGTATCTTCTTTGAGTTTTAACTTCAGCATGAGGATTTTACTTAGTATCATGAAAAATGGGGGGGGGGGGGTCTTTTATGAATATGTACATGTATGCATTTATAATGTTTTTATGTCATTTCCTTGTTTTTAAATTGAATTAGTACCATAAACCCTACTACTGACAGTAAGTCAAGTACTTCATAATAAACCCCACTACTTACAGTAAGTCAAGTACTTCATAGTTGCTAATCAAAGATGACTTGTTAACAGTTGAAGTTGCTATACTTTTCCTAGATAACATGATAAATTTTAAATATATTACTTAACATGCTATGAACCCACCAATAACTGACTGATTTCTAATGAACATCAAATTACTAATTATATCGTACAATACTGCATTGGAGGCCTCAAGTCAGAAGGAACATTATTTGAAGTAGGAGTAATCTAGACTTTTTGCGATATATTCTTATGGACCTCCCTATACCTCTTAATACTTGCTCATGCATTTACATAATTTTTGAAATGAGCCAAAGTATCTGAAAATTTTTACCCCAATTTATGTTTGAATGCATGTGTATCACAACCATGTACATATTAACTTAATACTGATGTCTATGAATATACTAGCATTTCTAGAGAATTTATTTTGAGTAGACATATTTTCAATAATTTCCTATAACCTTAAGTGCTTTAACATTTCTTTGGAGTTATTGACATATATTTTAAGGGAATTTAAGTAGGATGTGATAATGAATTACACATAATGCTGACGCTTACTTTTACAGTGTTAATGATTGGGAGTCCATGTGTCCCTGTTTTCTTGTCCTAATTTTTTACGTAATACAAATTGAGATAGGATTTTTTTTCACTCAAGCATATTTTAGCTTGTTTCAAACTAAAAGTTGAATAAGTAAAATACAATGAGACTTGTTTATTAAATATTTCAAGGGAGACAAGTCTGTATCGGTGTAGGGAAGTTGTTGATGTATTAATTAGCTGAAAACATAAAAAATAGTCAAGTCACAGTGAAATGGACTACACAGGTAGGGGATTAAACAGTTTTCACTGTAATAGAAAAAAAATAACTGCAGGTTTGAACAATTAATGGAATTCCTCACCAAATTAAAAAAAAAAAAAAATTAAAAGATCCTTCCCTCTTAAAAAATATTTTACCTTGTGAAATCAAATTTGAAAAAATTAAATTAGTAGAGTTTGTCATATTATAATTTGGACATGATTCATGATTGGCAGTTTATGGACTTAATTATTAGAGTGGAAGTGTGTCCTATTGAATGTCTATTGAATAGTAATGGTTAGAAAAACAGCCATAGAAATAGAAATAATGTGCATAAAAGCACATACCCTGATACCTATAACCAGTGGAAATAGAATCGCTAAATGTTCATAAAGGCACATAATTATTACCAGTGTACATTTGAAGGGAGGTCTATAGCACAAAGCATTTTCCATACAGGAGCAGGAACTATAAGTATGTGATAATTACGGCAAAATTTTCCTTTTTTCACGCACACCGATACAGTCATGACAATGCTAGAATTGAGGGTGATAATGTTGGTCATTTGCTACTGTTATAGTTACATCAAGGTTTGGTTTTGCCATGTAAGGTGTATTATAAGTTATTGAATTAATGTGTGTGTGTAAGTTTAAAGAACTGGGGTTGTTATTGCATGCATTACTCGCTATGATAATGGTACCTGAATGAAAGATTATTTTTATTTTCTAATAGATCGCGTATATGTGTTGCAGGAATAAATGGTAATCCTAATCTGAGAGAATAAAATTAATTATAATTTCTTATGGACATCATATTCATGAGATTCAGTTTAATGATGATAGGGTTTCTTGATATTCATGAGATTCAATTTAATGATGGAGGGGTTTCTTGCCGACAGAAATGATATATCTGTATTAATAATATACAAAATATACCTAATACATTGATAATATAATCATTATAGAAATTGCAGAGTTGATAAATCATATGGGTGAAAAGTTTGAATTCCTCCCCTGATTAGAAATGCTTGCCTTTCTGCAACAGATGTTGTATTGAAACTAATTGGACATTTGTTAAAAGAAAGTATGCCCACGATTTGGTGGATGCTGTTGACACAGTAAATTGGTTGGAAGTGCACATTGCAGATTGCCAGAAGACATTGCTTGGTAGAAAGTCCTTTTTCTGTTTTCATTTTATTATTGGCCTTTGGAAAATGAAAGGATATGATGAATTCAAGCTATTTTAATTAAGCATGTCTAAGAAAGTGAATTAATCTATTAAAATTATACATTTTTTCATCACATGATGTTTTTAACACAATTAAAAACTTATTAGAGGAAGCTAATTAATTTTTTTGAAACATTTTGTTTAAACATTTCAATTGAATTGTATTATAATGAATTCTTTATGTTAAGTAATTGTGGTCATTCATTGAAGATGAGTTTACCTTTCTCTGATTAGCATATAATTATGGGATTCTGATTAGCATATAATTATGGGATAAAATATCATACACAGTGAAACCCATTATTTCAATGTGCACTGGAAAACAAAAATGGTCAGAATAGATAGGTTTACAGATTACACATTGTAGAGAAAATTAAAAATAGTAAAAATGGGAATGAAAATAAACGTTGGAATTCACAGTGAAATAGAGTACACAGGGGTTAGATTAGAAAGTTTACACTGCATGTTTATTTTTGATATGTTACACAAATGTCTACCCTATGCCCTTATTCCACATAACTCCTTTAACACGTTTAATTATCTTAAATATAGTTCTGAATGCTATCGTTCCATGTTAGGCTAAGTGGAAGGAAATATTGATGTCATTTTAGCTGAACAAACAGACAGGTTGAAAAACGGAGAAAAATTGGGAGTTATAATAAGATCAACAACTATTTTTGTTAGAAGTGGCTACTGTGGCGCCCCCTGATTTTATCCTCCCCCATATTTCCTAATATTAGCAGGTTCCCCCTGTCATCCTTTGATAGGGATTCATTAATTAAGTCATTAATTAAATTTCCCAGTCATCATCCTCTCCATCCATTCTTTGAAGTGGACCAGTCCAAGAATCTTCATAAATAGCATTTCAAAATTAATGAATGTTGCATGATGCTGATAATGTAGAGTATGAGTTCATTCATTTAGGGAGGTCAATTTGTTTCTAATGAACGGAAAAAAGTTTCATCAATCAATTTGGGCAAGAACTCATTGGACATGTCCAATAACTTCGATTTATGAGAAAATTCCATTAAAAACGGATTATACAAGTTATGTATCTACGGTTGTCATTTCAGAGGAACTTCAAATCCTGATTAATTGCATAACTAGAAATATATCAGTAATAATACCAGTTCGATTCAGAATGACGATCTTAAATAGAATTATATCCCTGCTTATGGTCGAAGGTTTGTTCTGGTCAGTTTCGCTATAGCCCACTTCTGAGAGGATAAACCACGCACATGTCCTGTATGAGTGTTGCGGGAAATGAATTATTTTACGGTTAGTCACAGCTTCCTCTGGTCAATACTGGTGCCTGGTCTCAGTTGTGGAAATTAAGCAATTATTGGACAGGAATTGTCTTGACTTGCAGGTCAGTTTTCCAATCAATTGATTTGAAGCTAAGGATAAGGACTGAGTGTGATAAATTGGCCGGGGCTTTTGCATGTCCCAGTGTTCTTATTGGATTTAATGATCATGATGAAAATCGTATTTGGATCGTGGAGAAGGACTTGGAAGACACTTGCCTTGTATGTTGGGATACACATGTTAGGACCAGTATCCTTATACAGTCAAACTTCTGTATCTCAAACTTTGTTACCCTGAATAACATGAATATGTCAAAGCGAGGATTGAACTCTGACTTCTTTTCTTTTTGTATTTCAACCCTATTGTCTCAAATTCTCCAATATCTTGAAGTTTTTTCCTTAGTACAGTGTACTATCAAGTACCAGACAAGAGGTCTGAATTTAATTGTACCTTATGCATAAATGATGGCTGTAAAATATAAATAAAGAGTGACTGTATTTAAATGACTGACTTCCTCATTACTTAAAAGAAGTTTATTTTGTTTGCAGTTACAATTTAGCTTATTTTCCTCCTTTTTGTAAGAATTTTTTTTTAAAATTTGATTTCTCTGCTTAAATTTTCCAAGAAATGCTCTCAGCTGTTAATTTGTGCATTTGGATCAATTGTGTAAATTTTCTTCTCTAGGAATTTTAAATATAGGTGCAGATGCAGCTGGGAAGACATAAATGTTTACATAGCGCTTCAAGTTCAGTCTTCGAGGACTGTTAATGTATCGGATGGCGGGGCTAGGTGGTGGTGATATTATTAAGAAATCGTGCAGTTTGTCCTTTGTTTGTCAAGGTCCGTGTCAAGTTTGGACCACGTTTACGTTTGAGAGGACTGTATTATCTGTTAGCGAGCAAACATTTGTGTTTATCCTCCACATAAAACTGATGTTTACGTCTTTGTTTCAAGCAGCTCATGTAGAAAAGGAAAGGGGTTGGGGGGTTAGTTTGGAATAGCTCACTGTGAAATATGATTCACAAGTGAAAACATCCTTCAGAGATTGGGGAGAATTCTTCAGGTGAACAAGAGATGTTTGTGGAATTGGAAATCGAGCTTATACTAACACATTCTCAGCTGTCTATTTCTCTAAATTAGAAAATCACTTCTGGGAACTAACATGTAATTGTGTAAAAACATGTTTTCCTGAAAGTTTTTCAAAGGCATGTTCAAGTATCCGAGATCAGTCTACTATGTAAGATGGTGAATTTTTGTTAAAAGAACTCCTGTGGCTTTAAAATCACTGATGCTAAGCTTTATTCATCAACTGCCCACTATGAACATGATGAATGCTTGTTCATTATTGCATACACTTCAACTCTTGGGCATTCGGCTTCATGGCTCTTCACACGGAGAAACCTAGCAGCACATTGAGGAAAATCGCTGTTGTATGAAACTCATTTTAATTGAAAATACTGCCACAGGCGACTTCAACTTTTTAATAAATTCTTCATCATTTCTTATCACATGGCTGTACCGGCCATTTATCTTTTGAATTCTGAGGAGAGTAGATATATATTTTTACATATTCATACAAGTTCTGATAGACTGCCTGGTCGGCCCTTCCCATACCGAAAAAAGTTATAACTAAGTTATAACTAAAGTATAACTTAGTTATACCTAGCCTGTGAGGTACAAAAAAGTTATAACTAAAATGTAACTTTTTTGGACTTTGTCATTTTCATGTATAACTAAAATGTAACTTTTTGGACTTAGCCATTTTCATGTGTAACTAAAACATAACTTTTCTGGACTTTGTCATTTTCATGTATAACTAAAATGTAACTTTTTGGACTTAGCCATTTTCATGTATAACTAAAACATAACTTTTCTGGACTTTGTCATTTTCATGTATAACTAAAACATAACTTTTCTGAACTTAGCCATTTTCAAGCATTACCAGTATAAATTTACAAGTTTTGGGGGTAATATTTAATGGATACTACTTGACACGACTTTTTTTTTTTTCAAAAATAACATTATAACTAAGTGTTAATTTGAATGAATTTTGATCATGTTCAAAATGTTTTTTTTTTTTCAAACACTGCAGCAGAAAACTTTGTCAATTCCTGAACAATAATATTGTTTACTACCAGTGATCGACCTCTCATTCATAATAAATATGCTGTCCACAGCCATGTCAAGTTCAACAGAAGGGATGTGAAATAAAATCTTGTAAATTACATCTATAAATGAGAATCTCTCTCTCTCTCTCTCTCTCTCTCTCTCTCTCTCTCTGTGGTGTTTGAGGGTGTGTACACAGTACATGTCATGTGTGTGTAATAAATATTATTGTCTATTTAAATTGATATTTGTCATGTAAGTTTCAACTAAAGTTGAGAATAATTAATTTCTCTCTCTCTCTTTCTCTCTCTCTCTCTCTCTCTCTCTTAGAAAATACGTATTTATTGAGACCCTGATGAGACATAATATTTGTCTTGTAAATTATAATAATGCACTTACATCTGAAGTTGGGAATGAATATATTTCATAATGTACTGCAAGAGATATAAACAGTATGAAATGTAATCTCATGAAGTCATGTGAATTTTGCACGGATTCTTCGTGTGCAAAACTGTGTAAATTTCCCTATTGTTTTCTGTGAGACAGGTGTTTGTACTAGGTGACCTTTGTGGCCAACACATCGTAAATATTTCAGCTTGGGTATTACACAATCTCTGAATGGTACAATTCTACACAGGTTGCTTGAAATCTATAGAAAAAACAGTCGTAATATGGGTGGCTAAAAAGATAAACAACAGCATAGAGTATGTGCATGTTCATGTTGAACAGATATTACGATGTTGTAAATAAAGACTGCCAGTTATATTAAGATTTAAGCAGATGACTAGTACATGTAGATTTTATTGTTTGCATAATTAAATAACCCAGTTATAATAGTTATTTTCACAAATAAACAAATATTAAATTCAAAATGGCGGCAACAAAAAATATGGCGGCCTCCGATGTCCGTTTTGTTGATACTAAGATAAATTCAAAATTTTAACACCAACTGGTATTTATATTTTTAATTTAAGTTTAAAATTACACAATTAGGTTTATTTGCATTTAAAATAAATTAATTATGAATTATTTATTTATTTTTTTCTCACGTGACGTTTTTGAGTTCTATGATTGGTCAATAACAGAGCGCGGATTTTTCCATGGACGATTTGAATGTTTGGATGTTGAAAGTGTTGATAGAAAAAAAGGAGATAAAACCAGTTGGTAAGGCGATATTTATGCTAACATTTTATTGATTTTGGTAAAGTATACTTAGTACCTCTGGAATAACATTCCAAAAAGAAGAAATATTGGGAATGAACAAAATTCTAGGCGTGTGAATCTTAGATTTCTTGTTTGTTTTGATTGGTATGTCGAATGACAAAGACTGAAGTAAACAAATTGAAAGTATTTGAAACGCATAATATTTTTCAGCATTTAGTATATTAATCAAATATGTTGTTCTTTGTCATATTTATTCCCACAATTGTTTATAGATTCCCTGAACTGTTAAAATATTGTGAAGCCTTATACGCATCAGCATGATCATAACATGATCCAGCTGCAACGTTAATTAATGCAATGAAATGAGTAATTTAACATTAATTTTCTTTTTTTTTTTTTTATAAAGCAGAATATTGGTACATGATGTTTCCATGAGCTGAATCTGTCCTGACCTGGAGTACATGAAATTCTTCAAAATATTACTTGTTTTAGGTAAAGTAAATTTTTTTTTCATTTCAAAATTCAATAAATCTTTCAATCTAAAACTGATTCCTGTAAGTATAGATCTTAAATTAGTCTTGTATTTTCCATGTTTTGGATGAATTAATGAATTTGAATTAATTGATATGGAAGAGTTTTTTTTAAATTTGATATGCAAATGAGTGCTGGAAATATACTATCTAAATATCTATAATCTAAATTTTGAACCTTTACAATTTTTTGCAGAATTGAAGAAAAGGTTAAAATTGCAAGCATATTTCAACGAAAACTTAGCCGACTACCAGTCACACTGCCTGCCAGCCAAGACGTCTGACCAGCTAAAATGAGGGACGCAGACCACCAGCCAAGTCCCTCGGCCAGCTCGGCTGACCCAGTGCGGCCTGTCAAGGGATGACCAAGTCCATCAACTAGCTCGGCTGACTACCAGTGCAGCCTGTCAAGTCCTTCAACTAACTTGGCCTATTACCAGTGCGGCTGTCATTGAACAACCAAGTCCATCAACAAGATTGGCTTACTACCAGAGCGGCTTTTCAAGGGATGGTCAAGTCCGTCAACTAACTTAACCTACTACCAGTGCCGCATGTCAAGAGATGGCCAAGTCCGTCAACTAGCTCGGCTTACTACCAGTACAGCCTGTCAATATAGGGGCTTACTACCAGTACGGCCTGTCAATATAGGGACGGTTAAGACCGTTGACTAACTTGGCCTTCTACCAGTGCTGCTTGTCAAGGGACGGTTAAGTCCGTCAACTAACTTGACCAACTACAGATGCGACCTGTCAAGGGATGGCCAAGTCCGTCAACTATCTTGACCAACTACCAGTGTGGCCTGTCAAACGATGGCTAAGTCTGTCAGCTAACTTGGTCTACTACCAGTGCGGCCTGTCAAACGATGGCTAAGTCTGTCAGCTAACTCAGCCAACTTTCGGTGCAGCCTATCTTCAAATAATAAAGATAAACAACTGTACACCTGCAAGGATACCTGTGCAAGGAGGGTGGTATGCAGCTAGAAACTGTAACTGAAATCAATGTTTAGAACCTTTCTTTTTTTTGAAATACAGCTAGATCAAAAATAAATAGGGTGTTAATATTTAAAAATTAGTGATGTCTGTTTATACAAATAGCAAGAGTAGAATGCAGTTTGCTAGGTAATTTTACAAAGACCCTAATTGCTATATGCTAAAAATGTATTCTTTAAAACAACCAGAGAAATTTCAATCTGTTGTAGATGACATGATGAAAAATAAGGTACACTTGAATTTTGAAAACAATTGCATGTGCATTCATTTAGTTGTATTTGACAATAAACCAAGCTATCTTTATCGTGTTTGTTAGGTAAAATTGTTATTGCCTTTAATATGTTTTAAATAATCTTTTTTGTATAAATTTCAAAAATCTTTTTTTTTTAAATTTTAATGAGTAGCTTTTTAAAAGCTTATAACTGAGTAAATCCACAACAGGTTAACATACAGTGTATAATTTCACTGGAACTTTTACGAAAGTTTTTATTAATAGGTATAACTTTTTATAGTTATAACTTTTTGCAGTTATAACTTTTTTTAGGTATAACTTTTCTATAACTTTTTCATAACTTTCTTGGGGTATAACTTTTTTGTAACTTTTTCATAACTTTATAATAGGTATAACTTTATTTAGTTATAACTTTTCCTGGGTATAACTTTTTCCGGGTATAACTTTTTTGTAACTTTTTCATAACTTTTTTTGGGTATAACTTTTTTGTAACTTTTCCACTGTTTATTTGGGTATAACTAAAGTATAACTTTGTAACTATTTTATAACTTTTTGTGTAACTTTTAATAAGTATAACTTTTTGTAGTTATCACTTTTTTATAACTTTTATGTACTTGCTGTATTTATGTTGAATAAAAGGTGAAAAGTTATGTAAAAGTTATAACTTTTTTGTAACTAAGTTATAACTAAATTATACCTCACTTAAAACATGCCATTCCAAACTCCGATAACTTAGTTATAACTTTTTTGTAACTTTTTTTAGTTACAAAAGTTATAACTAAGTTATAACTTTTTTCGGTATGGGTTTGTATAAGATGTCTAAGTAAACAGTGTCTATAAGTGCCGGTTGTGTTTTCTTAATCCTAGCTACCTAGATAATGTATTTCTCGCTGACCCCCGGTGACCTTGAAGCCAGTCAGGAAAAAAGGCTTTTCCTGTATAAGTGAACTTTCAATTTTTATCACTAAATGTATCAGAATTGATAGCCCAATTTATTTCCTGTATGCAACGGATTGTAAACCTGTATAAACAGACTCGCTGTAATCAAACAGGAAAGAGGCAGAAGAGAGTCGGAAAGCTATGCATTATCTCATTAAAAACAACAAATCTTGTCAGATTAAGTCATTAAGAGTTGAATTTTCTTGATTTGTCAGGTTAAAAAATATCTGTTTCAATGTTGGTGTATCAGCTCCTAGCGCAATTCCAGGACATTCCATGTTATCTTCTTGTGCGTTGGAGAAAATTCAGATTGTTGCATGCTTATACCTCAATCTGTTTTGATTTAATGTTTATTTTTTTGATAGTTTGGGTCTGGCTAATTTTTTTTATCCCGACTTGAGGAGTATTGAGTTTTCCTTGGCATTCCTTGATGTGATTTCTTGATAGAGAGTGAATTCGGTATCACTACTAACAAAGATATGTATGGTTATGAATGTCAGTTTTAGACAACTTTGTTTTTCAAGGACTTCACATGGTTTAAACTCTAATGTTTAGTAACAATGTGTAATTATTATATTGCCTTGAATTTGTGTGAAATTCACATATTTTCAGGTTTTGATATTTAGGGTATTAATAGCTTAAATTATTTTCATAGGAAAGAGACTTTCTTTCAATATCTGAAGTACTTTTGTCTTTTTAGCTCACCTGAGCCGAAGGCTCAAGTGAGCTTTTCTGATCACATTTTGTCCGGCGTCCGTCTGTCCGTCTGTCCATCTGTCTGTCTGTCCGTAAACTTTTCACATTTTCGACTTCTTCTCAAGAACCGCTGGGCCAATTTCAACCAAACTTGCCACAAAGCATCCTTGGGTAAAGGGGATTCAAGTTTGTTCAAATGAAGGGCCACGCCCTTTTCCAAGGGGAGATAATTATGAATTATTATTAGAGAAAAATTAATGGCATTTTTAAAAAATCTTCTTCTCAAGAACCAGTCTGGGCCAGGAAAGATGAAACTCATGTGGAATCATCCTCAGGTAGTGTAGATTCAAGTTTGTTCAAATCATGACCCCCGGGGGCAAGGGTGGGGCCAAAATGGCCGACCCAAGTTTTACATAGAAATATATAGGAAAAATCTTTAAAAATCTTCTTCTCAAGAACCACTGGGCCAGGAAAGATGAAACTCATGTGGAATCATCCTCAGGTAGTGTAGATTCAAATTTGTTCAAATCATGACTCCCGGGGCTAGGGTGGGGCCAAAATGGCCGACCCAAGTTTTACATAGGAATATATAGGAAAAATCTTTAAAAATCTTCTTCTCAAGAACCACTGGGCCAGGAAAGATGAAACTCATATGGAATCATCCTCAGGTAGTGTAGATTCAAGTTTGTTCAAATCATGACCCCCGGGGCTAGGGTGGGGCCAAAATGGCCGACCCAAGTTTTACATAGAAATATATAGGAAAAATCTTTAAAAATCTTCTTCTCAAGAACCACTGGGCCAGGAAAGATGAAACTCATGTGGAATCATCCTCAGGTAGTGTAGATTCAAGTTTGTTCAAATCATGACCCCCGGGGCTAGGGTGGGGCCAAAATGGCCGACCCAAGTTTTACATAGAAATATGTAGGAAAAATCTTTAAAAATCTTCTTCTCAAGAACCACTGGGCCAGGAAAGATGAAACTCATGTGGAATCATCCTCAGGTAGTGTAGATTCAAGTTTGTTCAAATCATGACCCCCGGGGCAAGGGTGGGGCCAAAATGGCCGACCCAAGTTTTACATAGAAATATATAGGAAAAATCTTTAAAAATCTTCTTCTCAAGAACCACTGGGCCAGGAAAGATGAAACTCATGTGGAATCGGATCCTCAGGTAGTGTAGATTCAAATTTGTTCAAATCATGACTCCCGGGGCTAGGGTGGGGCCAATTTTAATGGCCGACCCAAGTTTTACATAGGAATATATAGGAAAAATCTTTAAAAATCTTCTTCTTAAGAACCACTAGGCCAGGAAAGATGAAACTCATATGGAATCATCCTCAGGTAGCGTAGATTCAAATTTGTTCAAATCAAGACCCCCGGGGGTAGGGTGGGGACAAAAGTGAACACCAAAGAGTTAAATGTGAATATATAGGAAAAATCTTTAAAAATCTTCTTCTGAAGAACCACTGGGCCATGAAAGATGAAACTCATGTGGAATCATCCTTAGGTAGTGTAGATTCAAATTTGTTCAAATCATGACCCCCGGGGCTAGGGTGGGGCCAAAATGGCCGACCCAAGTTTCACATAGAAATATATAGGAAAAATCTTTAAAAATCTTCTTCTCAAGAACCACTGGGCCAGGAAAGATGAAACTCATGTGGAATCATCCTCAGGTAGTGTAGATTCAAGTTTGTTCAAATCATGACTCCCGGGGCTAGGGTGGGGCCAAAATGGCCGACCAAGTTTTACATAGGAATATATAGGAAAAATCTTTAAAAATCTTCTTCTCAAGAACCACTAGGCCAGGAAAGATGAAACTCATGTGGAATCATCCTCAGGTAGTGTAGATTCAAGTTTGTTCAAATCATGACCCCCGGGGCTAGGGTGGGGCCAAAATGGCCGACCAAAGTTTTACATAGGGATTTATAGGGAAACCTTTTAAAATCATCTTCTCAAGTACTTCAAAGCTATGATTAGTGATATTAATATGGAATCATCTTCAGGTAGTGTAGATTCTAGTTTGTTCAAATCATGAACCCCTGGGGGGTCATTTCATTTCTGATCTGATATGTGCTTTTTCCAAGCCAATGTGCTCAGGTGAGCGCTGTGGCCCCTGGGCCTCTTGTTAAGGAAATGAGAAGGCAATATGTAATGCCCCCAGTTCTCCCATTTCAAAAATTATGCCTTGATCCAGAAATGACCCTTCTTTACAACACAGATGCCCTTATTACCCCCCACCCCACCACCACCACCACCCTCACCCCAGCTACCCTGCTCACCCACTTGTCCTGATATAACAGGGATTGGGGGGGAGGGGGGTTATAGTTGGAGGAATCTTGAATTATAGCACCTGAACCGCACAAGCTAAAATGCTTATGAAACTTAGTATCTACTGTAACAGTATACTTTCATCTATAGTGTGAATGCATTGTTCATTCCTTTTGGTTAGCATGTATAGAAGCAGGGAAAA